TACACCTACAGGAGGACTTCTTTACAGAATACCTCCTCAGTATCTTTGATGGCCTAGATTTGTTCATAGTCACACTAAGAAAGTTTTAACCTAATAGTCACCATTAAGAAACTAACTCGAATCCCAACATGATTCCTGGAATAACTGGGGAGAGGAGTAAAAAACCACACAAAGGCAGCTGCAGAGATGGGGCTCACAATGATGTCTCCCTTCTTGTTCCTTTCCAGAGAATGAGTTCTGTTTTAAAATTCTAACTGGTTATGACAGGCATTGGGGAAGGGCTTGTTTTAGGAATTGATAGAACTAATGTTTATTGGGTTATTGCCTTGTATCGATGTTTTGAGTGAATTATCAAAACACTGATGAGATGGTTTATATCATCTTTATAAGAAAAGGGAAGGTTAGAGGATTTGGTATTGCCAGTGTTTTTTCTTATTGTTGGCAGCCTGCCTGAAACTGATGGCAATAGTAAGGAAAAAAGCCTTCAGGTCTCCTTAACTCTCCAAAGGTAGGATTCAATCTGCTGAGGCTCAGGCCATTGCTGTAGTTCTGACTTTTCCTGGGAATCACCGATCCTTTTGAAAGGCTGATCAAATTTACAAACTATTTTCGTAAAGCTGAATACCATCCACATTTTACATGTGGTTTCAAGGGTGTGACTCTTGCACTTTTCTACAGAGCAGGGCGTATCAACCTAAGCATGTCATCTGTTCAGCTCAGCTGGCCCGTAGTAGGTTTTCAATAAATTTTTTTTTTTTTTTTTTGCCAATCAGTTTGAGCTAATCAGGTTGCTCAGGTTAGCCTTGAACTGATGACCTCGCCTTCGCGAGCGCGATGAGCTCCGGCGGGAGCCACTTTGGACCCCCTCAATAAATGTTTATAGATTGAGAGAAACAATGCCTACTATGTGCCAGGCACTGGGCTATGGACTAAAGATATATAAATTGGGGGAGGGAGTGCAGGGAGCAATTCCATATCTTAAGAAAGACTGAAATGTGTGCTGGGTGCTGTGTCAGGCCTGTAATCGCAGCACTTTGGGAGGCCGAGGTAGGCGGATCACCTGAGGTGTAGAGTTGGAGACCAGCCTGACCAACATGGAGAAACCCCGTCTCTACTAAAAATACAAAATTAGCCGGGCATGATGGAGCATGCCTGTAATCCCAGCTACTCAGGAGGCTGAGGCAGGAGAATCGCTTGAACCCAGGAGGCAGAGGTTGTGGTGAGCTGAGATTGTGCCACTGTGCTCCAGCTTGGGCAGCAAGAGCAAAACTCCATCTTAAAAAAAAAAAACAAAAATTGAAATGTGATTATTTTCTTTCACGTGTGTGTATATTTTTAAGGAGACATGGTTTCCCTCTGCTGCCCAGGCTCCTTGAGTGCAGTGGTACAATTATAACTCACTATCAAGCCCAGTAAATTTTAAAAAGTTTTTAGACACAGGGGTCTTGCTATGCCGCCCAAGCTGGTCTAGAACTCCTGCCTCACAAACAGTGGGTCTTTCTGGTATATTTTCAAAAATTATGTTTAAAAAAAAAAAAGTAACATCAAATTAGTTTAAAAATCACTGTATTTTCATGATACATACATTGTTTCAGATTACCTTTTCTAGACTATCCATAAATATAGCATAGAATCTTAAATGTGGCAGCTTGCTTTTTAAACCTGACCTAATTTTAAACATTTTCCTGTGTTTTCACAAATTGACTTTTTTTTTTGAGAAAGCATCTCACTTTGTCTCCCAGGCTGGAATGCAGTGCTGCATTCACTGCTTACCGCATCCTCGACCTCCTGAGCTCAAATAATCCTCCCTCATCACCTTCCTAAGTAACTGGGACTACAGGGGCACAGCACCACACCTGGATAACTTTTTGTATTTTTTGTCGAGACAGGGTTTCGCCATGTTGTCTAGGTTGGTTTCAAACTCCTGGGCCAAGCGAGGATTGCTTGGCCTTGCAAAGTGCTGGGATTACAGGTATGAGGCACACTGTCCAGCCCACATTGACCTTTATGTTTGAGGTGGGACCAGTTCAAGCAGGTTTAGGGTAGATGGGGCAGGGTAGTGATGACTCACCTGGGAGATATCAGCCTGCTTAGGACATGTCCCTATCTTTGGTTTCATGGATTACTTCCCTCTGTGAACTGAAACTAGTAAATACTAGGCAAAGTAAGTTACTTCTGAAATCTAACTGCCCTCCCATGCCTGCAGGTAAAACCATCCCAGATTATCTTTATTCCTGCTTTAGGGTTTAAAACCCCCATCCCTGGAGGCAAACAAAGACTGCAGATGTTCCTAGGATGGTTAGACTTGATTTGAAAGAGAGAGATACATATTCAGTAGCAATAATGAAAACCGTACTTAAAGTACCCATCCAACCATTCTGCTTTAGTTTCCCTACAGTATTCAATAAATTACATGAGATATTCAACACTTTATTATAACACAGGCTTTGTGTAAGATGATTTTGCCCAACTATAGGCTAATGTATATGTTCTGAGCATGTTTAAGGTAGGCTAGGCTAAGCTACGATGTTCAGTAGGTTAGTGAGTTAAATATTTTTGACTTAGGATATTTTCAACTTACGACAGGTTTATTTTCAACTTACAACCCCATTGTAAGTCAGAGCTTCTGTATAGTATAGCAATCCAAGATTACTGGAAGAAAAAAAGTACACCGTTGACCTATTCTTTCCAGTGCAGTAGCCACTAGCCATACATAGCTGTTCAAATTTAAATTAGACTTAAATAAAATTTTATAAAGTTGAATCCCTTGGTCATATTAGCCACTTTGAAAGAGTCACATGGGTGGATATTATTGTTCTCTTAAGTTTTAAACTGGATAAAAGTTTTGTGTAATCTTTTTAAGCAGTCCTCCCCACTACACCCACCCTCCAGTTAGCAGTGTCCGATGGTCAGTTTTGTTCAGAGTTCAGTTTGACAGTTGACATGTATATTGATATGGCTACCTGTGTTTTGTGTTATGTTTTGCTGTGGTTCATCTTCCTGTGCCTGGGGGCCCCCAAGCCCTCCTTTCCCACCTTTCTCAAAACCACCTGTTTTTCTCCATCTGCAGCATTTTGGTTATGGACATTTATTTGTAGTTTTTCTTTAAAACAAAACTCCTCTAAATCCTATTGATAACCATCCATGCTCTTCATCTCTCCTGTCTAGGAATTCTCTTCCTAACTCCTACCCTTCATTCTGGACACCTGCCTGGACTCCTTTTGGTTCCCCCTCTGCAGCATTGCCTCCACCCACCAGCTGCAGTGGTCCTGTCCCTTAAGAGTATTGCAGTGCCTCCTAACTGGGTTATATGCCTCTGATGTCCACTTAAAAATCTGCCCCAAGAGCTTTTTAAACTGTGAATATGATTATTTTATCCTGGGCTTTAAAAATGTTGGGGAGGGGCCCTTCCGGGTTTCCAGAGCAACAGGATAAAGTTCATGGCTCTTAGATGGAACCTTGAGCCCAGCATCATTCTCCCCCGCCATCTTTGCCATTTCCCCCACTCCACTCTCCCTCCTTTCTCATAACACACTGGTTCATTCTGATGGCTCCCAGGGGTTTTGTTCTCATGAGCAAGACACGCAACACTTTTGCATTAAGACACAAGGTTGCCGTTTTTTTATTTTGCTAAGTAAGGGCATTAAAAAAATGATCTCCGCTATCTACTGCCTTTATCATCTCATTTTAAAAGATGGCAGTTTACCCTAAAAAAAAAAAAAAAGAAAAAAAAAAGAAAAAGAATGAACTCAGCATTGTGAGAAACTCGGCAAGTCATCTCACTATGTTCCAGCTTTCTGCATGTGGCTCTTCTTCAAGTTCAGGTCTGCTTTTGCTCTGCTGCCCTCATCTCGCACTCTGTGATGCTTAGCTCTGGTGAGCCCCTGCAGTTCTAGAGGTGTTTGGCTCATACTCCAGGTTCCCTGGAGTTGAAATTTCACTCTCTTGTCTCTTCTCACACAGGAAGCCAGGGCTCTCTGTCTTATAGCTCTTGGTGGTTCTGACATCTGGAATGTTAGTAGCCTTGGATGTCTGAGGATGATCGTCATCATATCCCAGGTTTTTGCACAGATCCCAAACGTTGCCCTATGTCTAGGATAAACAAATAGAATAGAATATTTTAAACCACTAATTTTAACAACATGCTGAGAATGCCCATTTTTCTCTGCCTGTGGATTGGACACACTTTGAAAGCAGCAAGGATGGGCCTACAACAACTCCAGCTGCAGGAAACTGAGTAGACTGCTCCCTTTTATTTTATTATTTATTATTTTTTTTACTTTTTGAGAGAGAGTCTCACTCTGTTGCCTAGGCTAGAGTACAGTGTCACTATCAAGGCTCACTGTAGCCTCAACCTCCCAGGGCTCAGGTGAATCCTCCCACCTCAGCTTCCTGAGTAGCTGGGACTACAGGCACACACCACCACACTTACATATCTATCTTCCAAACTCTCATTCATTAAAAGTGAATCTTGATTAGTAGGGTAAAAGAAGGCCATCACCACAATCAGCAGTGTCTTTTGGGGGAAGCCTTGAAAGGACTATTTTTCCCTTGATGAAAGCAGAGCATTAAAGATTAACTACAAGGAATAAAGAGACGATGAGTTTTTTTTCTCACATTTTCACTATAGCCAGGTAGCCATTTGAATAATCTGTTAAGCCTTTTTTCCCCCCCTTAGAAAACTTCTGTTTCTAGTTTGGGAACACTCCAGGATGTCACTGGCCTCTGAAATATTTATGAAATGTATTAGTTCCCATTCTAAATTGGTTTAGTAACTGAGGCTGTTCTTTTGACTTCTGCGTTTTAGTTTTGGGGCTGTCAGAGCATGAAATTGGGTTTGTGTGAACATGTGTGTGCCTGGGTATAGTAGACTGCATTTTCTTTGGAGAGTTGTGATGAAGCATCTTCAAGGGCTTTGAAAAAGTTTCCTCAGGCATATCCAGTGAGCAAGGTAGATGCCGTTGTTTCGCAAGTTTTCTGTTTTCTTTCTGTCTGTACAGTTTGTTCCTGACTTCGTGACTGGGAGGGAATTGAGGATGCTGAAGAATACTTGCTGTTTGGCCAGTGGGATTGAGCCGAAAAGCTGACTCCTATTCTCCCATGGGTAACCTTCGGGGCTGGGTCCTGTGGCTATAGGAGAGGGACCACATAGAGGCACTGTTCTCAGTTCTGCATGGGGACAGCACAGTTTCTCTGGTCATACATGCCATCTGACTCATCTATTATCTAGACTCAAAAAAAAAAAAAGATTCTATAAAATACTGGCTTCATTCTGGAGAGTTGGTACAGAAATTGGGATTGTGGACTCATTCTATAAGCTGGCTTCTGTTCTTCACCTCCCACCCTTTTCTCCATGGCCTTTCCTACCTACTATTGCTACTCCCTACCCAGCTCTCTTACCTCTGTGACTGTTAGAGATTAAATGGTAGGTATTTGGGGAAGGAAATTTCTCCTTTCATTAATTGATTTTAGGAAGATCTTTTATATCCCAGAAGGGAACTCCAGGGGAACTGTGGTAAATATCTGATTTCACCATTTTCTGAACACATTAACCTCACATATACTGATGGGATACCAAGAAAATGGAACTCCTACCCTTGTATGGCAGGGAGTCAGGAACTCTATCCACCGATGTGTGAATTCCCTCAGGTCATCCTCTCATAAGTGACATGCACAGTCTCACAACCCATTTGATTGATGCACAAAAGAGTGGATTTTGCTTCTGTATTGAGTCCTGGATATTCACTGAAAAGCTGTAAGTGCCAGGCAGATGGAAGTGCTTTTGAGTCTGAACCTAAAAACACCTAGACATTCCCACAGAGTCAGATCTCAAGAGCAGAGTTAGGGCCAGGAGGAACATCAAAGACCACGGCCTGGCTTGCTCCACAGCCGAGGGGTCCAGTGTATTCCAGGCCATTTGCTTGTGCAAGCACATGGTGTACTACTTTCAGTTCCAATGGTTAAAGGACACTGTTAAACGCTACTGAATTATTTCAAAAATAGTAGTGTAAACTACATTTAACTTGAGCTGCTGTAACTAACTTCTGGGGTTTCTGGCCTTTGATGAAGATAACTCTTGTGTTTGCTGCAGACACAAAGCAAATTCTAAGTGAGCCCTGAAAGTAAGTTCTCTTCTTGGAAGAATTGAGCCTCTCCCACACAGAGGCACAGGCAATGCTGGGTTGTACACTTGAAGGCTGTTAGAGTTGGAGGTGCAAGGGATGCCAGGTAGTGTTGCTCGGGCATTGTTACAAGAGGCTCTGGAGGCAAGTATTTTACGCAAGTCAAACAGCCCCTCTAGGCGAGCTGCAGGAAGTCCAGCCCTTGCCTGCCTTCCGTGTGGTCAGCAGGAGATAAAAGTGTGGACTGTTGGAGGCTAGGCCCCTCCTATCACTGGATGACTAACTGTTAAGGGAAGATAAAAGGAGAGAGTAGGGATGTTCTTTTTGAACAACATGAAGGTGCCTTTGTCACATGCGTTCAAGTAAATTAAAGGGGGTGAGCAAGACATGGCTCAGTTTTATGATCACAAGCATGTTGAAGACTCTGAGGAGCAGCATTTGGCTTCACAAGTATGCCAAAACAATTTCATGTCATGAAAATATTGGTAGAGGTCGGCTTCTGATTGGCATTGTTCCCGTTAAGCAGCTTACGTTAATTGGACGTCAGCTTGGGTTTCCAAATCTGTGTGCTACAGAAATTTTCCGTGTTGAGGTGTGTCTGACCCATGGGGTCTGGGTGGACATGCCCAGCCGTCCTTGGATTGAGCAGATGAGCAGGCAGGGCAGCTGTGCTTCTCTGAAGTGTGCCCATCTCTTCTTAGTCGTACTTCTGGTGCTGGCCGAATTATCACCCAGGTATCAAAGAGTTGAAAGAAAGAGACCATCCTGCTGGTGTTTATCTCCCCTTCTCAGTTTTCCTTCCTGTTCTTTGTAACATTTGGGGGGAGTTTGGGGGCTTGCAAAGGGGTTGTTTCTCAGGGTGGAGCTTGTAAATGTGAACCCACAATAAGGGCCTGGGCATGTTCCGTGCCCTGTGTGAGCTCAATCCAAAGCAAGTGAACAAGCATGCTTCGGGACATGGTGCTTGTTTCAGGCCGAGCCTGGGGGCCTGGGCTGTGGATCCGGGTGGCCCTTTGTGCAATTAGACCCCCCAGGGAGTGCAGTTGTTGTGAACTAATCACTGCCTGGAAGGCCTGTGTGCCTCAGACTTCCTCCAGGACTGCAACTAATCCCCTCTCCCCACCCCCACTGCCAGCCCTGGCCTCCGGCCCCCTCCTTCCAAGGTGCCTCTGCTGGTCCAGGAACATGTCACCTCCTCTCCCAGCTGCACATGGGCTTTCCAAAAGGGCCCATCTTGCCTGCTAGTCCCTTTTGGCTTGCTCAGTTTACTTTAAGAAAACCCATTTGCTTGCTAGTGTTTTGGGTTGGCTAGCTTGTGGTAAACGCTTATCAACCACATATATGTCAGAGCATTTGTTTTCCTTTACATGCATAGTAGTGAATACTTTTCTTGGAGGCGAAATTGGGGGTGAAGAGATGGAAGGCTTTCTGTTATATGGCGTAGAGGGCAGCCCATCCAGCTTCTGGGAGCTGGACATGGTCACCTTACTGCACAGTCATTCCCAGCTGACGGTTTGTAATGTCTGATTACACACTGTGAAATTTTGACCACAGATGACCACTTTTCCAATGGGCGAGGAAAGATGTGATTCCCTCCTTCCACTGCCTTCTCTAAGCTGTTAGGGGAGAAGGATTTCAAACACATTTTTATCTTCCACAAGTTATTCTGGTTTTATGAGTATCATCCTGAAATTCCCCTGAATTCTGGGAATTAGAAGCCCAGATTTAAGGTAAACCACCTGCCCTGGGTTTGCTTAGCTTGCAGACAGCTCCTCCTCTGGGGAAAAGTGAAGAATCCTGTTGTTGCTGCTGCACCCTTTCCCCGAGCAGAGCACGTTAAAAGGGCCAGCCCTGCGACCTCAGGGCCTATGAAAGAGTTGCAGGATATTGCCTAAAACTCTCTGCAAACTGCTACTGAACTTTACCCTAGCTTCTTACCAGAAGCTGGAAATGTGACAAGATACTTAGATTAACTCCAGGGATGTGTCCAGAACACTCCCATTTCTACCATATCGTGTCACAGTGTCTTCAGCCATGCTGTATTCAGGTGCTGCAGTTACTTGGGAGAGAAGAAGCTTGGTGAATATAGGGAAGAAAGAGCTTCATCCTTGTGGGAGCCAGCAGTGTGTACTTCCGTGATTAACGGAATGTAAAGCTGACCAGGATTGGTTTCAGCAGCAACTGAAGTCAGAGGGGTTTTATTTCCTGCTTCTCATACAACATGGTGACTGTCAGCAGCTGTTCTTGTTGTCCAGGGAATTGCATTTGGGAAAAGCCAAATTATATTTATTTTAAATTGTTCAACTTGTGGGCTGGGGCAGGAATTCTTTTAGAAAACCATCAAGCTGAGTTCTTGCCTTCAGAGCTTTGGCAATCCAATAGAGGAAACAGATGGGTGAATTGAGGAGTTGGGAGAATCAGCCCAGGGACTACCTGGAATATTGGAGGATAAATAGTGTAGCATCAATAGTTCGCATACTGGAGGATGCCACAATGTTTGTAAAGTATTTTAGTAATCACTCCTTTGATGTCTATATTGTAAGGTAAGGAGAGCAGTGTTATCAGCTTCATTTTCCAGTTGGGAGAACTGAGGCTCAGAGTTCAGTGGCTCCACTGGTGGCAAGCTGAGTTTCCAGGCCAAGATTTAAGACTCCCCATGTCAGGCCAGGCGCCGTGGCTCATACCTGTAATCTCAGCACTTTCGGAGGCTGGGGTGGTGGATCACTTGAGATCAGGAGTTTGAGACCAGCCTGGCCAAGGTGGTGAAACCTCATCTTTTTTTTCTAATAATTTTTTGGGGGTGGGGGGGCTTTCTGGCAAAAACCGGAAAGCCTGCTAGACAAATTCTAAAAGAGCTGTAACATTGAAACCTCGTCTTTACTAAAAATACAAAATTAGCTGGGTGTCCTGGTGTACGCTTGTAATCCCAGCTACTGGGGAGGCTGAGGCAGGAGAATCGTTTGAACCCAGGAGGCGGAGGTTGCGGTGAGCCAAGATTGTGCCACTGCACTCCAGCCTGGGTAACAGAGTGAGACTCCATCTAGAAGAAAAAAAAAAAGATTCCTCATGTCATGTACTTTTTAAGTTATGCTATGATGGTTTATTCTTGTGCATGCTTCTGGAATCTTAAGGTATTATGCAGAGAGGGCAAGCGTTATGCATAAAAGATTGTCCCCTTAGAAGTGCAGAATCTGGATGTCAGAAGAGTCTTCTAACCTGGTCTCCCATCCATTGCCTGACTGGGGTTTTTGTTTGCTTTTTATTAACTTGTGGTTACCCACCCTCTGCTTGAAGACTCCTGGGACAGCAAGCTCATTACATTATCTGGGCTTTTTCCATCTGAGGGCTTAGTTCAAAGCTCTGGTTTAAAGAATTGTGGAGCTCCACAGTTGCTTGTTTGTGCCGCCTTCCTGCCATGGTGGACCTGTGCAGCGAGTGTGCCCCTCTTTCACACATCAGTCCTGCAGCTTTTGTAGCTGGCTCTTGTCTTCATTCTGTTAGCCATTTCCAGTTTTCCCCTTGACTTGGTTTCCCAATCCTCTAGCTTGCTAATGACCCTTCTCTGAATGGTTTTTCAAATACCCTTTTTGTGGTACAGTAGAAAGTGCAAGATTTTTGGAGTCAGACAACCTGGGCTAGGCCTTTAAGAACTGTGTTATGTCTAGCAAATAGCAAGAGTTGGGGGAGGATTAAATATATGTAAATTGCCTAGCATACTTGCTAGCATAGAGTTTATGTCACAAGTGCCAGTGCGCTAGATTATCAGGGAAAGAGGTGCTCTGGAAAAAACATGATTAGATGAATATTAGACTTCCAGTGTATTCTGACTTGAATCCTATTTTCTGTTACTTATGCAACATTCTTTTCTGTTTTTAAATTCCTCAACCAAGGTGTGTTGTGGAGGCCTCTCCCTACCCTTTCTTGTACCTGCTATCTACCTGATAAGCCAGGAGAGCAGATCTTAGGGTGGGACAGGGCAGGG